CTCTCTCCGTTTTGTAATCCTAATCAACAATCTATCTGCATTTTCTCTACTGAATTTTTATAGAATATATTGTCTATACTGTTCAGTTTTACTTATTCAAATGTCATCCCCATTTTATTGATTCATCAATTCTCCTTGCATCTCAACTTCCTAACAAATCCTGGGGCCACATCTTCTGTTATTTCCTTTTTCATAGCATGTGGCACAAGGCTCTATATTTTTATTTACGTAATGATTTTTATTTCTAAAGTTTTATTTCTAAACTTTCTAAAGTTATTCTTTTTTAAAACTAATTATAAAACTGAAAATCTTTTTCATTTCATCATCATGCTAAAGCCATAATGAATGGCTGGTTTTTTTTTTTTTTATGTATTTAGTACAGGCTCTACAGGGTCTCACTACAACAGATCAGAATTGTAGTGATCCTCCTGTTTTCAGCCTCCCAAGTGCTGGGATTTCAGGTGTGCACCACCCCACCTAGTCTCAGTCACCATCTCAGCGTGCCCCAGAGGTGGGGCTGGCAACAGCACGCTGAGGAATGAACCCCATCCCTGTGGCTGCCTAAGCAGGTGCTTTAATCCACTGAGCTATTCGGCTGGCCCATGAATGACTGTTTTAAAGTTATTCTTTTGCTTTACCAATACCCTAAAAATGTGTAACTACTAAGACCAGTAGAGTTACTCAGATTCCTTTTTTCTTTTTGGAATGTCTAAGGCCTCTGTTTGGTTCACTACCATGTTTTTCTAGCCTGGACCTCATTTTTAAAGTTAAAAATTAATACACAGGAGTACAAGAAATTATAGTCTTACTTATCAAATAACTATGTTCTTACTTTGGCTGCTATTACAAAAACATCACAAACTAGATGGGTATAAACAAAATGCATTTGTTTTGCACAGTTCTAAAGGCTAAGAAGCCCAAAGACCCTTTGGCTGCAGTGTATGGAGAGGGTCTACTCAGTGGCTTCTTCCATGTTCTTCCATGGCAGGAGGAGAAAACAAGTTCCCTTAGGCTTCTATTACAAGGGCACTAATCCCATTCATGAGAGCTCTGCTTTCATCATCTGATAACCTTCCCAAAGACTCACTTCTTAACACCATCATCTTGGGGTAGGATTTCAATGTATGAATTTTAGAATACACAAACATTTAAGACCATAGCAGTTGTCAAAACAGGTGGGGTTTGGGAATGTAGCTCACTGGCAGAACACTTGGGTAGCATTGATCACCAGAACTGGAAAAAGAGAAGAGGTGAACATTTGTTCATGTTTATTTGCTTACATTTGAAAAACATATTGTAAATACAGTTGAAGTTATCTGCATTTCTATTTTTAGTCATTTTTTCCTGCTTCATTAGAAGCAAACACTATTATGAATTTAGTGTATATCTGTTCTTTATCTTTTCCTTTTTTTGGTGTTTTTGAGACAGGGTCTCACTATGCTGCTCAGGATGGCTTTGGGCTCACTTTGCAGCCCAGGATGATCTCAAAGTTACAACAATCCTCCTGTGTCAGCCTCTTAATTGCTGAGATTATAGACATGTGCCACTGCACCAGGCCATTTTTTTTCTGTATTATCAGCTATATCTCAACTTATCATTCACCTACCGATAAAAATATGAGCTGTTTCTTTTTCCTTTTACAAATTATTCTTACTGTTAACATTTTTGTGCCACTTTTGGAAATTTCTCAAGGACTTATAGGGAATTCTAGGATCTTAGTGCTTATTTTAAGCTTCATTCGCTAGGTGACAAATTGCTGTATGAATGATAGTATCAGTCTATCCTCCAATCAGCCATTTATAAAAATTTCCATTTACCACATCTTCATCAGGTTTTCTATTATTATACTCTTATTTTTGTCAAGTTGATGGCTATGAAATGACATCTTGTTATTAAGTTTGGATTATTAGTGGGGTTAGGAATTTTTAAACATGTATTGATCATTATGCTTTTGTCTCCTAATTGTTTATATGCTTTGCCTATTCAATTGTTATTTCATTAATTTATGGAACACATGTGCATGAGTATATATGTATGTAAAGTTTTGGATACTGCTTTTATAGTATTGCTAATATATTTTCCATAATGATAATATAGTACCTTACCATTTCAGTGTGTGTGTGTGTGTGTGTGTGTGTGTGTGTGTGTGTGATGCTGGGGATTAAATCCAGGACCTAAAATATTAAATATGTTTTACAATTGAGCTAGAGTCACATGGAGAGAAAACATTCTCTCAGGCTTTCACAGAGAGCAAATTGGTCAAGCAATGGCTGTGACTCATCCATATGGCTGACACTGACAAAGGATGTACAAAGTGTGGTACAGGGTTTTGGGGTATGTTCTCAGGGGACTTTACAGACTGTGTCAGATACAAAAGTTACATTTCTTGTTACATAGATCTTGCTTTATCTTGGTCTTAACCATCCAGCAGAAAAGTATAAAAATGAAGTACAAAAAGTAAAGCCATTTAATATGTTGAGCTATAAAACACTCAAATCAACTTCCGACATTGTCAGTCCTACAGATAACCCACTACTATCTATTATGGACTACTGGACTTTAATGGATTATTTTGCTGAATTCATGCACCTGCAGTATTTAAATGGCAATGGAATACCCATCTCTGACAAAATTAAACAAAAAAGAGGATACAAATGAAGGATCATTTTGTATCTGTATACTCAAAATAGTTAGGATAGACATACAGCTGTATTCTCTTAATTCAATGAATAGAAAGATTTGTTCTAACAGTGTTTTTGGACAGAATATCATATCTGCATCTTGCACAATGAATAACCACTAAGACAACAATATGCAATGTATTAATTATTGAAAGTGTGTTACTAATCGGTTTTGAAACAGTCTCATTTTTGTTTCTCAATAAAATTATTTTTTAAAAAATTGAGCTATTTCCCAACCTGTTTGTACTTTCTCTTTTTAAGACAGGGCAATATCAATAAAACTCAAATCCCAGATTTAAGCAATCTTCCTGCCTTAGCCTCCCGAGTGGAGGCTTCAACTATGAAATCCAGCTTCATTTTGATTTTCACACAAAAGTTATAATATTGACATAGCCAAAATTATCAATCTTTAACATTTAGTACTTTATTAATTTTATCTTTATTTCATACTTTTTGTGCTTTCTTTTTAAGATAGTTCTGCATTTTTAAGGTGGAAAAGGTAATTCTCTACACTTTCTTAAATAAAATTTTGTTTTGTTTTTTGGTATTGGGGATCAAACTCAGGATCTTGTGCTTGCCAGGCAGGCACTTAAACCACTGAAATATCTCACCAGCCCAATAAAGTTATTTTTTAAGCTTATGTCTTAAATAACATTGGTAAGACATAATAAATGTATCCAATTTCATTTTTTCTCTCTAAAAAATGCAACTATTCCAGCCCCACTTACTAAAATTTTATTTCACAAAGATATTTTTCCAATGTACTTAACTGGTAAAATACATGAAACATAAAATTATCATCTTAACCATTTTAAAATATGTAGTATAGTTGGCCTAAGTAAATTCATATTGTGCAACCAATCTTCACATTACTTTTCTATAGAACTGAACTTCTATACCTACTTAACAACTCCCCATCCTTGCCAACAACCCTATTTTCATCTTTCAGAATTTGATTGTTCTAGGTACCTCATAATTGGAATCATACAATGTCTTTTTGTGACCTCTCACTTTGTATAATTCCTTCAAGTTTCTTTCATGTTGCAGGATGTATTCTTATTTTCTTTCTGAGGTTTAAAATACCAAATTTTGTTTGTACATTCAGCTGTCAATAGAAACTTGTGTGCTTCCATCCTTTGGCTTATTGTGAATAACACTGCGTGAATATGAGTGTGTATGGGTTGAGTCCTTGTTTTCACTCTCCTGGGAATATACTGAGAAAAGGAACATTTGGGAAGTGGACGTTCTTTCAAGGAATTTCCATGCTGTTTTCCATAACAGCAGTGGCATTATTCTTTAACCTCAAGTACACAAAGGTCCCATTTCTTTACATACTTACCAACACTTTTTTTAACTATTACCCTCGAGGGCTTTGTTTATTACATTATTTTGACAGTTTAAAAATGCTTGAATATCTTACGTGTATATTTCTGTTCTTTTTACTTAGCTCTAAATTCATTTATTGTATAATTATTACAGCTTTATAAGATCTCCAGTCTTTTTCAGAATTGCATGACAGAAAATCGTGTTAAATATTTATTAGAATCAATTTTATAAACTCTTGGAGAAATGTTACTGTGTTGCTGTCTATGAATGACATATATCCTCTCATGTTTTTTGCTATGTAGTTCAGGTTGGCATAAATTCACATGATCCTGCTGCTTCAGTCTCCCTAGTGCTGGGGTTTCATGTAGGAGCCCCTATGCCTGGCTTATCCTATCATTTCTTTTACATCTTTAAAATATATTTTGCAATTTTCCTCATGAATGCTCTGCTCATCCTAGTAATAAATTTAACAGTTTAAATTTATTGTGAGGATGTAAGATTTATGGATATCGACTCTTTGGATATTAGTATATTGGGCTTTCTTTCTCAGACATTGTTAGTTTTGATCTAGAAATTTTCCCCAAAGGTTCTTCTGTTCAGAGGTGGAGCTTTTGAAAGGCAACTGGATCATGAGGGCTCTAACTTCATCAGCAGGTTAATCTTCTCACAATCCGATGGCACTGTTGGGTGGAATTAGAAACTTTGGAGGCAGGACCTGATTGAAAGAGTCAAGGGGGCATGACTTGTCCCTAGCCCCTCTCTCTGGTTCTGCTTCCTGCTTGCCATGAGGTGAGTTTTCCTCTACCATACCATCTTGTCATGATGTACTGCTTCACCTCAGGCCCAGAAGCAGCCAAAATAAACCTTTTTGCCTTTTGAATTGATTTTGTCAATTTCTGACGTTGCCAATCCTACGGATAACCTGCTACTATTGTGGCCTACTGGACTATATTGGAGTATTTTGTGGAATTCACACACCTACGATATTTAAATGACAATGGAATACTCATCTCTGACAAAACAAAAAAAAAAGGGGATATAAATGGACCATTTTGTATCTGTATATTCAAAATAGGATAGATATGCAGCTACTTTCTCTTAACTCAGTCAATGAATAGAAAGATTTGTACTAATAGTGTTTGTGGACAGGATATCATATCTGCATCTTGTACTATGTATAACCACTAAGAAGACAACAATATGGAATGTATTAATTATTGAAACTGTCCTACTAATCGGTTTTGAAACGATCTCATTGCTATTTGTTTCTCAATAAAATTATTAAAAAATAAATGAAGGGCCATTTTGTGGTGAAAAAAACATATACCTGTATATACAAAATAGGATAGTTATATAGCTACTCTCTTAGTTCAATGAGATTTGTACTGAGTGTTTACAAAAGATATCATGTCTGCATCTTGTACTATGAATAACTACTATAAAGACAACAATATGCAATGTATTATTTTAACTGTCCTACTAACCTGTTTTGAAACTCTCATTGCTATTTCTCAATAAAATTAATTTAAAACAAAGTGTCCCATTATAAAAGATTGTCAGATATTTTATCACAATAAGTTAATAATCTATTTTAATAATTCATATTTTCTTGAAATTCTCCCACTGAAATTTTCAGATATACTAGCAGATTTGTTTGCTTTTCTTCCCACAGTAATCTCAAGGCTTTTTAAATTGAGTGTCTAGTGTTCCCATTTACTTGTATCTTTATCAGATCTTAGTGTTGCTGTTGTGTGTGTGTGCATGTGTGTTTTGTGTTATCACCAACCTAGATAAGAAATGGTATCTTGTCATTGTTTGGTTATGTCCTATGCAATTTTTTTTATCTTATCTGGTTTCTTTCCCTTTCTGTGAACATCTTCAATATAGCTTAAGATAAAAGGCACTTTCTGTGTGTGTGTGGGGGGGGGTCTCACTACAGTTTGAACTCGTAGTGATCCTCCTGTTTTCTGCCTCCCTAATGCTGGGATTATAAGCATGTGCCACCATGCCTGGACTCCATTGCTGGATCAGCGCTTATTGAACCCTGGCCCCTGAACTTGCCTAAACAAGTGCTTATCTGCTGAACTATCTCACCAGCCCTTAAGAGGCACTTTCTTCATGGTATCTTTCTTTCTGCTTCACTGTTCTTTTCTTAGCTTCTTCACTTGAAGTCTTTTCACTCATTTAAAAATAAACACTTTAACCATAATTTCACCTTTTCATTTTTCCGTATGCAATATGTATTCTGATATAATTTCATTGTCATTCAGTGTCAAATACGTCATTTCCACATTTTTTTAGAGCCAACTTGTTCCGTATAGATAAATTTCTCTTGACATTATTTCAAGATTTTTACGCAGCTTTATGATGGGTTTTCTATTGCAGAACTTGAACAGAAACTAGCAGAAGTTGGAGCAATACAGACTAATTTGGAAGAAAACCCCAACACAAGCATTGAAGATATGATGGTATCTTCAATTAGAAACACTTCTATTTATAATGACAGTGATAGTTCCAACAGTGATAATGATAACAAGTAGAAATATTCAATAAATATCTTTAAAGTTTATGTAGGCTCAATGTTTTATTTACTATTGGTTTAACAATCAGATCAGGACATATATAGATTTTCATTTTTATACTAGAATTATAATTCAATTCTATTTAATTATAATTTATATCATCTTAAAAATTTTTACATACTTCAGAATATTCATTGCTTCTAACAAAAGTAAAATTTCTATTCCTTAAAATTCTTCTGTGACATTCTTTTTCTAACTCATATGGGGTAAAAACACTATAAGTTATCTTTATTGTCTTTTCAATTTCTAGAAGACATGAAAGAAAATAATGAAAAGAACAAATATGTTTTAAGTCAGTATGTTTTTAATTCTATCATTTAGGGACATTGAGTAAAGATTCCTAAATTATTTACCATCTGCTTTTTCTTCTAAGTATTTTACCTATCAAAAATTAAGTTAAAAATTAACAATAACAATGCATTCTAAAGATTCTGAAAAGTACATATGAAATATCCCCGTTTATTGCTGCTTTGAATAGTTGTTATTAAGAAAGAAAATTACTAGGTCTTGTCACTAACAAATTGTAGAACTATTAGAAGAGTATGGCATGTAAATTTCTAAATTCTAAGGAGAGGTGAGAAAAAGATGCTGTGGGACTACTTTACATTTTAATAGTAATCATAGAATTTATCATGAAAAAACAGAATTTTAGGTCACTGTGAAAGATTTGCAGGATATCTCATCTCGGCCTAATAATGAACATCATTTATAGAGGAAAAGTTGGCAAATCCTTCACATAGTAGTTCAGTAATAGAGTTTTTTCTATTTGTTTTGTATTGATGGTCCATAATTCTGAATATAAATGTTTACGGATGCTTCTGAATCTAGACTAAGTTAAATGCTTAGATAACAAAAATAAAGTGTTGAAAAAGGAGGGAATTTAACATGAGATCAGTAAAAGATTCTTTGTTGCTACTGATGTAGTGAAGAATCTTACATGCTGCTGAGAATTGTAAAGTAGAAGGAAAGTTAAATGAAGATTCGAGTAACTTTATTTTACAAAAAAAAGTATACAAATCCATGAGTTAAAAAAAAGTTTATTTTACCAGATAAAGTAAAATCATGTCAGAGGAGTAGCTACCTAGTTATTCTGATCTAACTCCTAAACTCCTTAAGAAATGGATGGGTAGATTCCTATCCAGGATAAAAGTTGTCAAATGAATGGTAGAGCCATATTATCATAAAATTACGATATAACTCTCAGGCACATAAACATGAACATTATTTTTCCCTCAAATTAAAAAAAAAAACATAAAATCTCTCCCTAAGGGTAACCTATTTTTTCTTTTCTCTTTCTTTCCTTTTTCTTTTGTATATATGTATTTATGAAAAGATTTAAAGTTAAAATTAACAAGTTAACTGAAATAAGGAAATATGTATTTATTTCCCTCTGAACTCAGGTGTACTAAGTGACAGTTAAGTTTTTCATCCACAAACACAAGAAGATTTTCACATTTGGACAACAGAGACCACCATAAGGAAAGAGGTCAAACTTGTTGGCTCTTAACCTATTTCTCACTGAAAGAATGATTTGTGTTTTCTTCTGAGACAGTCAGGGACATAAAAGTGGTTTTTGCTAAAAACTGTGATTCTTCACTTGGGTATACAGATGCCCAATAGGTAACTAAATACAGAGCAAAGCTTGACCTTCATTTTGTAAAACTCTGGGTCAAGTCCTTTTCAGCTCTGCATACAGAGTGCTAGTTATTTAGGGAATTTGTTTAAAAGTTCAAAACACAAGGTTTATTCTAAATTCACTTAGTCTTGCTACCTTTTAAGACTCATAACATCAGATTAAGAGATTCACAGACATTCAGTTTTGCCCAGAAATCTCCACTGCCCTAAACCTATGGTCACTCTTGCAGTCCAGTAGAGCTTCACATGAATGAAATTGCCCTCAAGTCCGGAAGATTCAGCTATAGTGAACTGAATAACCATTCAAGAAATAAGGATTAATCTAGAGCTACAAAACCAGGATTGAGATAATAATTCAATCCCAGCCCACCAAAACCTCCCACAGAACTAATCTCCCTTCTTTTGTAAACAGGCCAGTGTGATCCTTTTCATCAGTGCACATCCTCAAGCTACTGGAGTCTTTCCCTATCTTCTCTTGCTTTGTCAGGACACTGGATTGATCTATCAGCTCAAGCCAAAATCCTTTAGCATTTTCTGACTTTCCAGTTAAAGCTTGTATCTGTAAATTCATACTATTGCTTTAGTTTAAATTTCCAGCAAAGAAAGGACACATGCTAGCCAGTGACAAAATCATAAAATCAAACATGTTAGAAGTGGCTGGCTCTGATTCCAAACATGCTCTTCTGCATAATGCACACACATTCTTCTAGCCAGGACTCAGGCCTGCCATCACATCACCACTACTACACACTAGTGATTATGGGAAAGTGAATATGCAATAAGATTCCATTTTATTACATATATTACTTGATGGGTAGAAATTAGGTTTTAGTTTTTATCTTGCACCAATGATGGAACTCAGGACCTTGTGCTTATGGCACTGAGCTACATCCTCAGCTCAGAAATTAGTTTTAAAATTGTTGATATTCAATCATTTTTGACATACAAAAATACTTTGTATATTTCAATCTATTATTTTTGTCCTGTCAAGAGTGTTGTTTTGAAACTACTTTCTCTACTTTATAGTGCCTTGTCTGGTCCTGTAATCAGCTGCATTTCCAGGGAGTTTGATACAAGTGTACAACCTCTGGCCCTAACCCAGACAAAGGAATTTCATCTTAATGAGATTCCCAGGTGACTGGCATGCGAATTGAAGTTTGAGAAGCACCAAACACCAAATCTCTTAAAGTTGGTTTTAGCTTGTTTTTTTTTTTCTCTTACACCACACTCTAGATTATTATATCTAACCCGTTTGAAATTCCAATCTTAGTTCCAACCTAAACATTCTCTGGTTGAACTTGTGACTCTAGGAACTCTAAAAATGAAAGGTGTGGTTTGTTTTTAACCTATTTATTATCAGTCTTTTTTGAGCCCATCCCTCTTGCACCAGGGACTGGAAGCAAAATAGCAGTTTCTCCTAATTATATAATCTACATCCCATCTACATGTTCACTCTGTAAGGATGGTACACTAAGTTTTCCTGCAAATGGAGGCAACTTCCCATTGTAAACATATTCATCTTCCTCAAGTGTCAAGATGGTTCAAATCTAGACAGCACTTTCTACCCAGCATCAATCAAACCATCAGAAATTTACAAACCTTGCCACACCAAATGATGGATGTGTGGACTGTTTTACTTCAGTCCACTCCCTGGCCAGCTATTTCTCTCCAAGTTTCCCTTCATCCACTCAGGTTAAATGTAGGTAATACTAACAAATCTGCTGGTGGATAAGCTACTGGTCTCCCCTTCTTACAGTCACCTCATTTCTCTTTCTGACCCTTTTGGAACCTTATTCACCTAAGCTGGAGGGAGATGGAACATATAAAGGAAAGGAAAAGCCACAGATTTACTAGGAACATAAAGCTTCAATGATTCTTTCAAGCATTACTTTTTCCAAGTATTGTGCTTTAATGTTCTGTGAGAACAGACTGAAAGGAACAACCATAATTGAGATACCCAAAAAGAGAACCAAGTAGAAACTGTCTACTGCTAAGCATCATGTGCTCACAGGTGGGCTTTTCTGGAGTTTGCTGGACCTAAAGTGAGAGATTAAGGGTATATGATATTAATTCACCCATTGAATTTAGCATAGTTCTGGGTGTGGCTTAATGGATTTACTAAGGACAGAAGCCCCCTGCCTTTGGTATGGGTGGTACTACCCAAAAAGCTGGTACCCTGGATGGGATAAAAGGAAAAGGCAGGCTTGCTGCTTACCACACCATGAACTGTTTCTCCTCTGCCATGCTGCCTTGCCTTGGAGCCAGCTGACTATAGACTGAAACTTCTACAAACTATGAGCTGAAATAAACCTTGTCTCCTTTAACTTTAGGTATCAGGTATTTTGTCCCAGAAATGAGAAAAATAAAACAGATTCCTGGTACCAAAACCTGTCTCACTTCTTTGTTGATGGGACAAAATACTTAGGACTCACAAGTTAAAGGAGAAAATGTTTATTTCAGCTTAGTCTGTAGAGGTTTCATTCCATAGTTGGTAGGCTCCAAGGTAGGGTGGCATGTCACAGGGACACAGCAGAGAAACAGTCCACAGCAAGGTGGCAGTGGTAACAGCAAGACTCCCTTTTCCTGTTATACTATCTATGCTACAAGCTTTTTTTAATAGTGCTACCCATGCCCAGGGTGAGGTTTCTCAGGGCCCACACCCAAAACTATGATTGAACCAATTAGTGGACTAATCCAGTACCACACAGCCTAGATTCAGCCACCTCCAAAAAGCCCCACCTATGACTGCATGAGCCTTGAGTAATGTCTAGATACAAGCCTTAAAAGTATGGAATCCAAAGGAGAGGAAGGTATAGGCTGGAGGTAAAATTTTGAGCCATTAATTTTAAGCCAACTGGCAAAATCATAAAAATTTACAACCAACTATCCTTATCACCCACACCACAATTCTCTTTAATGTTCATTCTTGTAACTTTTAAGTACTCCAGGGCTCAAAGAAATTACTTGATTTGTTTGGTGTCTCTCAGTTTAGAAGTATTGGTGAGGATTTAAGACCCAGACTCTTAACTATGAAGTGTATATACTATGCAGTATGTTGTATTTCCCTCTAAAGGAACGAGAAGAATGAGTAATTGACTAAGCCATATATGTTTTTTTAAGAACAAAACAAGGGCCAGCAAGACAGCTCAACAGATTAAAGTGCCTGCTTAGGTAGAGGTAGGGATGCAGGGACTGGAATTTGATTCCTGGTGGCATGTCTTACAGGCTCACCCCTGTGGTGAGCTGAGATCCTGACTGAGACTGGGTGTGGTAGCGCACACTTGTAATCCCAGCACTTGGGAGGCTGAAAACAGGAGGATCACTACGAGTCAGATCTGTGTAGTGAGACCCTGTACTAAATACATTTTAAAAAAGAAAAACAAAACTTACCTTGTACGTCCTATTTCACCTATCTCAAACTTAATATTTTCTGATTCACCTTTAAGTAATGGTAAAACCAGGAATGTCATGAACAGATGAGAAAGATACTGAAAAGTATCTTTGTGACTGATGGTACACAGGGAGATGAGGGAAGAATCTCAGCAAAGGAGATTTATTACCCAAAATGGAATGCCAGTGATAAAAAATACCAGGTTGTATTTTATATACAAACATGCACAGCACTGTTTCAACTGCTTTATAAAATGGATTATTAGCCCTTTTTACAGATGAAGAAACTAAAGAACAATTGAAAGATATCAGTGCAAAAAGAGTAGGAAATGCTCAGTTTAATTGGGGCAAATCAGGTGAAAAGACTTGGAATTTCTTAGTTTGAGGGGGTGTAAGGCATAGAGAGTGACCAGAATGAATTGCATTTAAGAAGAGAGTTTACTAGGGTACCTGTAAGTACAGGATCTATGATATTACCTAGCAGGATTTCTGATTTTGGAAACACAATGTGGAAGCAGGAAAAGCTATTATTAGAAATAGCTTTTTTCTTGAAGAAACTGCAGGGAGTGAGGGAGAGGAACAGTAGTGGGAACTGAACTGTGGGAAATATTCAAGCAAAGGCGGGGGTTAAAATTACCAACGGGTCTTAGTAAATAATTAAACACAGAATGAATAAGAGGGAGGAGTCAGAGATGAATATAGTTTGATCCTGGTGACTAAGAGGACAATGAAACCATTAAAAAGGGCAAAGGTATTTTTGAAGATACATGTTTCAGAAGATGTGGAATATGAGAAGGGATCAGTGTCCCTACAATGAAATGTAAATGCCCATACTAATAACAGCATTCAAACTTATTGTTTGGCTGCAACCTACCTTATCATTATTATTAATATCGCCTCTTTTCCTACTTTCCATTATCAGCACTCTTTAACGGAATTGTATGGACCTCTTATAGTAAGAATAGAAGAATCTAGTCTGCATTAATGGTAGGGCACCAAACATGTCTCCACACCAGAACTCCACCTTTCGATCTTTTTTCCACAGTGCCCTCTTTCTCATTACTTGTGCAGAGAAAGAAAATTCAGGCTTCTATCCAGATCCAAGTCCACTGGAAAAGACCTAAAGCCTTGAAACTAAAATAGAGTTCAACATTCAAATATGCTTTCTCCCTGGTGTACTAGCCAGACAGACCAGGTGGAGAACAGTTAGCTCGCCGTGAATATAGGTGGAATGAACAGCAACATCTATCAAAATCCCTTCCACCATACAATGGAACAATTAACAAATCATGCTTTCCCATCCCCCATGGAAAAAAAAATTCTCGGGAAGCCAGGCATGCAGCCTGGTGATCCATGCCCACAGTCCCTGCTACTTGGGAGGCTGAGGCAGAACTGTAAGTTTAAGGCCAGCCAGTGCAATTTAGTGGGATAGTATCTCAAAACTAAAAGCAAGAGAGGGCTGGGAAATGTAGATCAGTGGTAGAGTGAGTGCATCGCTAGCGAGTCTCAGGCCAAACCACCTTTCATGAAGAATCAGATCAAAGTCTCAATTTTAACTTTATTTTGGTTTGAGACAGGCTCTGTGCTCTGGAACTTGCTATCCAGCTGTCTGAATCTCTGAACTGCCAGTACTGACATTATAGACATAAACTACCAAACCGGGCGAGTTCCTTAGTTTTGATGTTTTCCCTGAGAATACTGTAAGAATTTGAGTGGCTACTCAGGTTAATGAGATCGTGGAGGATTTTACAGTCAGTAAACTAGAAGACTATTTTTTTTTTTTAACAAGAAAACACTTTCTACTTTAAGATCGTATTCCTTACAACAGAAATGACTAAGAATATAGAGCCCCATTTAAGTCACACGAGCTTTCCCACTGGGTCCAAGCATGTCTTGAGCACCAAGGACCCCTCCTCCCCATTAAGCTAGAGATACTATTTCATTCCTAAAGTCACCTCCCATAATAATGTCCTAAGGGTTTTAATAAAGGACCAGAGGAAAAACTACAAGTGCATACTGTACATTCGACTTTCCGTCTCCCCCTCACAGCCCAGGGCGCTCCCCGGTCCCCAGACCCACCCACCAGTAAAGAAGCCTCGCCAAAGGCGAACCTGCAGAGCCTGGGAAGGGACCGTCCCCGGCGGTCCAAGGACCTTCGCAACCTCTAAGGAGTCAACGTGAGGGTTGGGGACATCTCCAGTCAACACCAGCAAAGCCTAACCTGGCAAAGTGTTTTGCTTTTCGAAGGACAGGGTGTTCCCTTTCTGGCCGCCACATGCAGGCAGAGAGCTCTTCTCGCTCCCGGAATACACGGGGAAAGCCGAAGCCGCCCGGACCCATCCCTAACGCTCCCCAAACCAGCACCTGCACACCGCCAGGCCCCGCTTCCCTGTCTTCCATTAACCAGCGCCCTCTAGGCTAGCAAGGAAAAGGGGCCCGGTGGGCTGCGGGTTCTCCTCAGCAGCCGCAGGTCCCCGACGCGCCGCCCGCACGGCCGGAGACACACAGCCCAGAGCCGAGGCTCGGCGCGCGGTTCCGCGCCGCCTAACGGGGCAAGTCGCATGCGCACCGACGCGGCGCGGAGAGCGAGCGCGAGGGGAGGGGCGAGCGCGGAGCGCGGCCGGCCGCGGAGCTGGGGTCACGGGCTACGCATGCGCCGGGAGGGAGCGCAATCACGGACTCAGCTGCGGCCACCAGTTTGAAAAGGAAACCCCGAACCGCGAGGGCGCGAAGGGAATCTGGCCGCCGCCGCGCGCGCGCTTCCGGTGAGTGCGCCCCTTCGGGTGGGCCCGGGCCTGACGTCCGCCGGCTGGCTCGCCTTGGCAGCGCATGCGTGCTCCCGGTGCCGGTGGAGGAGGGGAAGGGCCGGGAGGGGGAGGAGGGCGGCAGTAGCGGTGAATTTTGAGGGGTGGGTGGGGGGCGTCACTTGCGGCCCCAGGTGCTGCTGGCTCCGGGAAGCGCCGTGTCTCCGGGACGCAGCCGGTTAGTGGTTTGGAGGCGCCGCAGGCAGTCCTGGGTGGGGGAGGGAAGAAGCCGGAGCCGCCGCGAGCCACTCGGTGAGGGCGCGGGCGAGGGGAGGGGGCGGCGTGTGGGGCCGGGGGGCGGCGGCCGAGGCCGGGGAGGCGGGAGCCGGAGCCCAAGTTTCGCGTCTCGCACTAGCGTAGATTTTCGCGGGATTTGGGGCGAGGCCAGCCGGGCTGAGGGGCCATTGGGGGCAGCTGGGGTTACCTGCGGGGCACGGCCTGCATTGGGGGGCACGGCAGGGCGGGGGGGGGCCGGCGGGCGTCCAAGCCGCCGCCCATTCCAGCGTCTAGGTGGCCAGCAAAGCCAGACCCAGTGCGACAGGGCTTCGTCAGGGACCCGCTAGGCCTGTGACCCACTTTATTCCTGTCACCATTCGGGCACGTTTGGAGCGGCGCCCAATGGGGCTGTGGGACGGCCAGCTCCTTCGGGGAACCCCCGCCCTCGCCGCGCACGGCCCGCGCGCCGCGGTGCGCAGTCCGAGCGGCTGCCGCCGCCGCCAGTGGGCTGGTTCCGTTAGTGGTCGTGGTTCCGGGGTTCGGTCTCGGAACAGCGCGCGGCTCGGGGCGCCGCACCGGGCTTCGCTGCTTGCGTGCACCGGAGCCTCGCGCTCGGGTCGCCGCGGAGGCTGGAGGTCTGGATCTCTTTCCGCCTGGGGAGCCGGTGACGCTCCGGCCAGTGGGTGCCGTCTCCTGTGAGCTGCGCCTGACAGTCAGCTTGACGGTGGTGTTTGCTGTCGAAGCCCTTCTGTGGAGAGCAGTCAGGAGAACGCAGCAAAAAAAGCGGGAGAGATGGTGGCCTCTGACCTGGCAAATGACAGATCAGCTCGTGCTGTGGTTTCCCACTATTAGAATGCCATTTTTATACGATTTAAAGCTTTCTAACAGCTTTGTCAAAAACAAAAACAATGTTTTCTTTTACAGCAAAAGAAAAGCACAAGAAGTAAAGAAACTTTTGCATTCACTGTTAATTCGGCTAGCGTGCTGATCCCCGAAATCACAGTGAAGGTAATGACTCTTACATTTAGATTTGTAGCTTCAAGCGGCCAGAAACCCAAATTGCGCAATATTTCCCTTCCCTTACAAGTTTGGAAATAAGAGTCTTAAAAGGATGTCTGCATGGTATCCCTTGGGACACCTCAAGTCTTGTTCGTTTTAAAATCTTGCTGAAGGAAGGAAACTTGTGTAAAGTAGTTGACAGAACCAAATGACATTAAAGGTACCTGGTTAGTCTGAAGAAGGTAGATGGAAAATGTGGTACAACTAGTGATTAGTTTTGAAAAAAGAATGAGGAAACTTTTTGTGTACTGACGTGGAATGATCTCAAATTCAAGCGAAAAAAGTAAGGTGTAGAACTGTAAGTAGTATTTTCTGTGTCAGGGGATGTACAATATAAACCTGTTTTCCTCAGCTTCGTGTAAAAATCCCAGGAGAATGAATACTAGAAAACTTATAGGAAAAAGAGAATCTGATGAGGGAAGGGTAGGACATGAGATATAGTATCTGTATGGATTTTTAAAATTTTATGCCCACGTTGTGAATGACCAAATGAGTAAGCAAAAATTCATCTCCTTAAGACAATTTCGGTGGTTTTTGTTGCCAGATTTGTAATTGTGATTCTTAACCACTGGTTTGTCTTAATATTTAACATTCAACAAAGTTTTGAGTAATTTTGGCTATTTAATATGTGTATTTGCCTAGTTAAAATATTTAATGATGTTATATACATTTAGCATAATGCCTAGGTTATGCTGCTTTCAGAATATAGCTTATCTTTCCTTGGTCTTTTTTTATTAATTGTAGTTATATAAAATTTTATTTCCATTGGCCTTAAAGTTTGAATACTCCATTAGAATTGTAAACTTGGTTTGTATGCTTTTTAGGTTGGGAGACTTTTCTTTCCCTTAAGAAAAACAGGTGTTACATGTTTTCACACGTGTGTGCGTGTAGTTTCTTATGAAAAATAATATGGAGAGGCTGTGTTCTGATGGTGTAAAAAATTAAACATTTTTGTGATGTAAATATTGTATTAACAATTTTATGCCTTAGGTAGTTTAGTCTTTTTCATAAGGTTAATTAAGATTGAAAGGAAGGTTATGGGCTGGAGAGATGGCTCAGTGGTCTAAAGCACCTACTTAGAACAAGCTTAGCAAAAGCATCAGGGACCGCGGTTCAATCCCCCAGCACCACATGCCAGCCAGCCCTGCCCCCTGGTGGGCTGAGCTGGCCTCTCTCTCTCTTTCTCTCTCTCTCTCTCTCTCTCTCTCTCTCTCTCTCTCTCTCTCTCAAATAAATAAATAAATAAATAATTACAAAAAAAAAGGAAGGTTATTAAGAAAGATAAAATTTTAGGAATGACAAATTCAAATTCTTGTGACGAATATATAATCAAAGTGGTTAATAGTAGTGGCTTACAGTTGGGGATATTTTTAGTAATGCTACTAGTATTTTTTATTTTGTAAGGAGTGATATTTGTCTTAGTTGAATTGTAGGTTTTTTAATAGACAAACTAGTCAAAGTGGCATTTGTTTTTCATTTGAACTCTATAGATCTGTCTGTTCAATCATTTTATTTTTTTAAAAAATTATTTATTTATCTATTTATTTATTTATTGTGTGTGTGTGTGGCCAGCTCAGCCCACCAGGGGGCGGGGCTGGCTGGCATGTGGTGCTGGGGGATCGAACCGCAGTTCCTGTGCTTTGCTCAGCTTCGCTTATTCTAAGTAGGTGCTCCAGACCACCAAGCCATCCCACCAGCCCTCAATCATTTTAACAAACGAAATCACATTCACATTTTTATTTTAAATTTTATTTTAAAAATTACAATAGTAAAATGTTCATAAAAAGTAAAACAGTATATTTATAAGTTTAAACTTGTTGTACATCTTTCTACTTCTATCTCACATCTTCCTCCAGAGATAACTCCTTTTAACATTGGTATATATCCTTCTAGATCTTTTTTTGTGCACTTACAAATATTTTGTCCCTTTCAGTGTTGAGCACTGATTTGTTGTGTTTTATTGTGATTGCTCTGTCAGTTTGTCTCTATTCTGACCTTTTTCACTACCCAGAGGGCAGGGAAATGACCCTGACAGTGTCAGAAAGTTGAACTTGTGAAGTATACCATAGGACATGTTTATTTTTTTCACTAGTGAGGGATCAAGTTAGTATGAAGGCATTGATAGTTTGTGGGGAGGTCAAAATGATGTTTGATATAGATTGAATTGAGCATAAAAACAGTTTCCATGACTTTTCTGTAGGTGCCTTTGGAGCTCAGGTGATTGGGTCTTTGGTTTTAGGAGAAAAGGAGCCCTTTGGTTTTGTTTATTCTTAACTGACTGTAGGTGAGTAATGTCATCTTTCCTTTTGCCCAGACATTATCTAAGATTTCCAAAGGGGCCTCTTTTTAGGTGGCAGAATGCAGAAAATTTAAAGTATTAAAGAGTATTTATTAATATGTGGGATACATAGATACAGTATGATTGATTCTGCCATGCATTTGAGTTTAATGAATTTGAAGTTTAATATGGTTCAAAGAACGGTATGTTCATTGTAATATGATACAAGATAAGAAAATATCAATTCTAGAAGAAAAACTATATTTAAGTATGAGTCTTTTTATTTTATGTGATTTGTGAGTAAAGTTTTAAGGGAGAATATGTACAGTATCTTAACCTTTTAGTTAAGATATAATAGAGTAAATTTAGAAAGCTTAGGTTTAACTCAATGTTAAGGAGTTAAGTTTCATTCTCATAGCGGGTAACTGAAACTGATGGATATCTTAATATTTCTTTTTAAGCTTTCCCACTGGAAAGAGCCATTTCCTGCTTCATAATTTTGCTGTGGTCTGTGATCTTTAGATTTTAGAATTATTAAATGAGGAAATTAATCAGTTAACTATTGTCTATTCTGAAATATGTCAGGTAGTATTAAGATAGTTATTTATTCCTATCTCATTCTTCTCTCAAAGTCTTCTCATATATTTAGTGTCACCTCTCCACATCTTTATTTCTGGTGCTGTGTAAATATTTATTTCCTGTGAATATGTTAACAAAGCAACAGTATTGTGGTAGGAAATCAGAGTTCCACACTGCAAGAAAAAGCTTTTTTTTCTTTGTTTACCTGTAATTCTTTGCGGATGCATAAAGTAAAATGCATTAAATTAGTTTTTTAGAGGCATTTATACTTGTGAACATTACATTGTCTGCTTTCTTGAGTCAAATTTTGAATGCAGTTATATAAATTACATCAACAATGCTTACATGTTAGGGTAATTTAATTCTTACTAATTGCTTAATTATATAATAGCTTTGTATTTCTAAGTTGCTATACAGCTATTTGTTAATAGCTCTATTATATGTCATTTCCATGAATTAAGTGGAATTAAATAGGGATTAAAATTTCTGATTTTCTCATGTATTTGGTTATACAAATGTTATCTTAACTCATTCTCAAAAATACATTTTCAAATCTTGTTTTATTACTTTAGTTGTGTATTTTACAAAGAAGTAATTGTAATTTTTATTTTATTTTATTTTTTATTTTTTTATTTTTTTTATTTTTTTATTTATTTGAGAGAGAGAGAGAGAGAGAGAGAGAGAGAG